TCACCATGTTGGCCAGGCTGGTGGTGAACTCCTGACCTCAGGTGATCCACCTGCCTCAGCCTCCCAAAGTGCTGGGATTACAGGCGTGAGCCACTGTGCCGGGCGGGGGAGTTTTAACTGGTAGGTTTAAGGCAAGCGGCGCGAGCCCCGTGGGGCCATGCTAACTGTACGGGGTCTCTGCGGTGTGGCTGCACATTCCATGTGGGGCGTGGAGTCCGTGGGGACATGGGGGGTCACCAGGGGACACCGTGTAGCGGGGGCGTCTGGGTGGATCAGCTCGAGGAAAGGGGATGTGAACTGGAAACTGTCCCAGGTGACAGCCCGGCTTCCAATCAGAGGAAGTCCAGCCTAGACTCAGTGGATGCTGAGGCAGCTTAAAATGCTGAGAGTTCCCTGCAAGCAGGAACGCCGGCCTGTGGGGTGACGGCCGGGGTCACGGCCCACGTTCAGCCTTCAGGTCTCTGCCCTGTGGAAGCACCGCAGGGGCTGCACTGAGCCTTAGGTGTGGTGTGGGGTCCCCAGAGTCTGAGGCTCCAAGGATCCCTGGGGGCTGGGGCACAGCCCTGGAGGGAGTGTGGGGGATCCCACAGACCCAGCCTCGTTGGTGCTCTGGGTGACGTGGCTGCAGCCAGGTGGAGTGGCCCCCGTGACAAGCACACACCCCAGAACCGGCTGGCTTGGGGCCTGGCCCTGGCCTACACCCATGCCCTGGCTTCCCCACTCCCCAAGGGCAGGTGCCGTTCACAGCCCAGCAGGGTGGCAGGCAGGGCGATGCGGGGCTGTGTAGAGAGGCACCCTCCTGGCACCGAAGTGGGTCTCACAGCACCCACTTTGTCTGGGACTACAAGAGGGACTATGGGGGCCAAGTGGGGGTCCCGGGGCCAGGTGGGGCTGTGGGTGGCCTCACAGCTCACTCCTCTCATTCCAGGCTCTGCCGTCCTTCTGCACTCAGGTAAGTGACCCTGGCCCCAGCTGTCCATCCCCCCTCCCCCTCAGCCCCTCCTGTCTTGCCAGGCCTGCCCTGAGGGGTCCTCAGCCCTTCCCTCCCTCACTAACCCCCCTCCCCCACAGGGCCCTGGGGCCGACCCCTCCCCCACAGATGCCCCCTCCGCCACCAGGGACC